TTTTCTTTTCTTTTTGGTATTGTTGTCAGTTTTTTGAAATGACTTGTGTTAAGTTGTTTTATTTAGAATATGTTTATTTAGAATTTATAATTCTTTCTCTCTTAATCTCAGTTTCTCTGTCTCTCCCTACCTCCCTCTCTCTCTTTCTCTTTCCCTCTCTGCCCTTGACAGCAGAGAACAGCTCAGAGGTGAAGTTAAAGTGTAGGTGAGTGGGGGCTTCTAGAAGCAGCCCCTGAGCACTAAGAACCAATGTGCTGCCGGGGCGTCTGTGCAAGGTCTGATTAAGCTCAAGGGGCTGGGTGGACATTGCTGTGTATCACACTCTACAATTATTTCCCCTAATCTAAAGTAAACTACTTGAAATCATAAAACTAATCCAGGAACTTCCTGGAGTCAAACTGGGAACCAGAGAAAAAGAAAGAAAATTCTGTCAAACTTTTGCTGGCCAATTTGGACCCCCCCCAAGAAAAAATCATTTTGGGGTGAGAATTACCAGCTTAGTTATCTCACTGGACTACATTAACTGCTAACTGACAAATTACCACTTTACTTTCTGAAGTGTAGGCAAAGTCTTTGGCACCTCACTTCTTTTGAGAAGCGGTTAGTCTGTAGCCTCATAGTTGGATTTGTTCTGTCCATAAAATGTAATGGGATTTTTTAAAAGAAATTCATTTGGAAAGCAGAATTGTCTCTATCCCCATATGCTCTCTTGTAGAGCTAGGGCACAGATCCAAGTCAGAGCTAAACCGAAACAGATGTCCAGCCCCTGATGGAGCCCTTCCGAGGATCAGAGGGGGCCTGCTTTACTCTCAGCCCCTCTGAAACACCCACCCAAATCTGATTAGAATTTACATGGGGACAGTTAAAGCAAGAAGTCCTGCCAAAGGCTGGGATTGAAACTCAGGTTGGTGAAACTGATCTGACCTAAGAACTAACCACATTCAGTTATGCCAAGAGAAGCCTGCGTCTGCGTGGTTTGGCTCGTTTGCCATTGTTAGCAGCAATAGGATTGAACTAAACATGGCTGTAAACAAGTGGTATAATCACAAAGCTGGAGCCCAAGCTCCCCACCCCCTACAGTTAGGAAAATCAAGTATGCCAAATGCAAAAAGCTGGCGAGCCCATCACTGGAGGGGCATAGAGACAGAACCTGTGAGACAGTCAACCCTAGGGCGTTGGTGTTCCCGCCTCCCAGATGGCTTGGCCCTCCTGTGTTAAGAGATCAATAACTAGTGGGTGGTTTTCTCACACTTTGGTTATTTTAGTTTTTGTTTTGTTTTAAAATGTAGAGCATACAGAGATTGGGAAAAACAGGAGCTGAAAAAATACCTGTGATTCTTTAGCAGAATATAGGGACATTTATTCCTAAAAATAGAAAATAGAAAAACACTTAGCTTCTCCATTCTCTTTTTTGTGTCAAAGGCCAAGTGTTCATGAGTTGTTATAATCAAAAGGTCAGTGAGGTGGTTTATTATTGGTATCAGCAGTTTGTCCTTGTTTGTGCATGGGTTACACACCATCATCATCAAAATAGTTTTGGGTGGATATAAAATCATTTAAATGAGGGGGGAAAGAGAAAAAAGAAACCTCATAAAAGTAGAAAAATATTTTGAATTGTGTTTTCTTACATAAGAAAATGACACAGGATCATTTCAAAAAAAAAAACATTAACTATGAAATACCCATGAAGCAGCCCCTTTGAACTGTGGATGGAGATAAGCATAATTTTGGAATTGAGCACTTGAATGACCTGCTCATCCTTAGCTTTAAAGTGACCCAAACAACCAAGAAGTTTAAAATTCTGCTGCTTGACCATGCTTCCATTAAGTAGTGCTTTCGGAGGAGGGAGTACAGGTGAACGCTGCTGGGAGAGGTAGGCTCGGGCACGTGCCTGGGCATGTAACTTTCCCTTACATTACACTTTTAAAAAGCTATCGGCACTTAAAATATTTAAAGGGGAAATCCTACGGGAATACTGTGGGCCCCATGGGATGGTCCACATCCAGGTTTGTGCCTCAGCTCACCACTTTCCATTTAATAACTCACAGAAAGTTCCCTCTTAGCATTGGTTTAAAGGAACCCACCTCCCAGCACATCCCTGCCATTTCAGACTATCAGTCTGAGAAAGAGCTTTGGCAAAGTCAGCAGAGCTCCGTCCTATGTATTTCAGCCCCAAGAAATCATTCTGTAAGGCCACAGCCATTTAGGGGCTCCAGGTTCGAGAAAGAAACAAGAACCCATCTACCTGCACCCACCTAGGGCTCTTTTTCTAACCCGAAGCACCTGCCAGTGAGAAGCCCCCAGGCCTTGGAGAGGGCATCTGATTTCTCAGCAAGCTGCCTCCACATGCCTTCTGAGTGTTAGGGAACCCTTGGCTTTTTGCTGTAGATCTTGAGGCTTCATCACTGGGACTTAAGAAAAAGATGGAAATGCCTGGAAATGTCTGTTATTTTTCTGGATACAGAAAGAACAAGAAACCACTTGCCAGGTTTGCCGCCTAGACGCTGAGGCTGTACCAAACGAAGCTATCATCTGTCTGCCTTGATGGCTGCAAGTGGAATTAACCCAGCCAATCCCAAGTTTATAGCTGCCAGCAGCAACTTTCATTAAAAGATCAAAATGAGCAATAAGTTGTGGGAAGTAAATATTTCCGGGGATTTTTATAAACAGTTCTTTTCAGGATAACAATTCAGGTGTCATCCTAGGTGGCTCCCCACTGGCAGCCAGGTGCATTTGAACATTGAATCTCCAAAATGTCTCTTGGTTCACAGCTAATGAACTTAAAACAAAACAAAACAAAACAAAAAAACGCAGAGAGGGGCTTCAGAGGTACCAAAGGCTATTAATGCTCAAACAAAGGATTTCAAAGATTTCAAAGAGGGTGTCAGGCTGTACGTAGGTTGGCATGACATAAGTCATACAGGTAATAGGTGGAATGCAGACACAGTCACGGGCCAGGTTTGCCGTTCTAATGAGGCTGGACTCCATTGTTGAATTCTTTATGGAGCGTGTCCGTTCTCTTCGGGTCTGGGAAACATACCTGCAAAGACCTTCTGTGTCTTCTCAGATCCAGCCAGAAATTTTTCCATGATGCCTCATTCCTTGACTAGAGCTGCATTTAAGAAACTGATGAGCAAGAAGATGGCACATTTGACTAGGCCCTGGAGCTATCTTGTTGGATTTCACCTGGTAGTTGACCAGCTGGTCTCATGTGGTCTTGGTTTTCAGCAGGAATGTCACCCAGGGCTGCATTAGGACTTTGGTGGGCCCTAGACACTTTTGCCTTTGTGGATGCCCTTCCTTCATTAAAACATTTTTTTAAATTTTATTTTATAACTTCATTGAAAGACTATAATCCAGGTTGGGTTGTGTTCACTTTTCCTTCTGATTTAAAAAAAAAAAAAACTTAAAATACTTTTGTAGGCCCTTAAAAATAAAATGGGACTAGGCACTCTGCCCATTGTACCTAACAGATAAGTAGACCCTAAAGCCACCAGGCAGGAGAAAAAGACAGAAAGGAGAGTTCTTCCAGAAAGGGGTGCAATGGGCAGATGTGGCTTGCCCCAGAATTTTAGAATCCAGTTTAAACTGCATCCAAAGAGAAACTAGGAGGAAGGGAAGGTTGAGGGGCTGGGAGAAGAGAGCCATGGGGAAAGCCAGATTTCAAGTCCTTGCAAAGCCTGAGACAGGAAACTACAGCCAAAAGCACCCAGTTGGGACAGGGATCCTTGCTGTGGTGTCCTGCGTGTTTAAAGCCTACAGGCCCTCCCCAGCACAGCCCCACCCCTTGTGTCAGCCTTGCCTCATTCTGTCCACACTTCAGGACACAGTGGACAGGATCACAATGACTTTCCTGTCCAGAACAGAGTAAGAGTGAAGGGAGAACATAGGTGACATGTACAAATAGGTATTTTCCTACATATTCCAATAGATTTTACACTGATTTTCTTCATATATTTTTCTAGTTATGTCTGCAAATAAGGATAGTGGGGCTTGCTTGTTATGAAGAGAAAGTTTCCTATTGTAAAAAGTGTCAAGTTCCACACAAACAGAACCATTACCATGATTTTTATCATGATTTCAATCCATCAACCATCATTCTCACATCTGAACTCTAAATGATGAAGCATGAATGTCTTTTATTCACAGAGCCCCATACAGAACACTGAACATTATGGGATACATCAAAATGAATTAGTTGAAAGTGCTGAGTGCTTTGACAGATATCCTTCAATTATGTGTTACTTCAGCAAAGAATGGAGGTTTTATAGTCAAGGGTCAAGGAACCAGATCTTCTATGTAAGACTTTCCATGTTCAGTAGAGGGTAGCCTGATCAGTTAGATCCTGGGGGGTGGGTGGGGGGGAAAGGGGAAGATCCCAAGATCCCAGTATAAAGGAATAGAATCCAAGGTGGAACTATTATAGTACTCCCTTATCTGATACAAGAACTGGGAATGACTTCTGTTAAAAAAAAAATATGCACAGGAAAGAATTACACCTTGAATTCTAAGAATCAAGTTTTGGCTCTCAGCTTGAATAGTAGGGACCTATACTTATAAGAAGTGATGGTAATAGTCATGGCTAGTCACGATTTCTGGCTTTTTCCGTAGGTGGCTATGGTATGGATGTAACCAAGAAAAACAAACGAGATGGCACTGAAGTCACTGAAAGAAGTAAGAACGTGATATATATGTCATTATAAAAGTAATAAAAAATTTGGAAAGAGTAAATAATTTATTCCTAATTCCACCACAACCACTGTATCTTTTTTTTTTTCCTGTTTCTTATGTTTTTGTTTTTAGTTTTTCTCTTGGATTTTTTTTTTGTGCTTATTTTTCACTGTATCATTTTAAATGTATTCCTAAATAGACTTTATTTCCTCCTATGAGATGCCTTTTGTTGATTTTAATGCTAACACACTTATAATCAAAATGTGTTCTTTTTCTGCAAAGATGAAAATAGCTATTTTGATGTGTAGTTTTTTAAACCAACATTTTTAATGGTTTCATAATATTCTGTTGAATGAATTTGCCATAGTTTATTTAACCATGTCCTTATTTAGGGATACAGGGAAACAGAAGTCCAAAAGAATAATATCTCCATTATTGCAGGGACAAAATTTTAATCACAGTTGTGTCACAGTTGTAATCTACACTGAAAATTGAAAACAGACACATTTCTTTTGTGAAACTGCCCAAATGATAAATTCAAAGACATTTAAACTGTCCCCTTAGCAGCTCTAACTCATTCACTTATCCTGTGACTTTCATATATCTCCAATAAAAAAAAAATCTCTGGCTCCACGGACTTGGAACTTTAGGTTAAGAAATAATTTATTTTTATATGTCACAGAATCCCAGAGGTCCACACAATGAAAAGTTTAGTGAAAGCTCAAGGAATGTTATTCAAATCAAGCCGCCATTTTAGTCTGAAAAACCATTTCCTTTTATGCATGGAATGCGGCTTCTGCTGCATTTGTAACCCCAGTTCCTGCTAGGACAACCAAATGCACAGGAAAATGCTGGGTGAAGAAGGCAAGGGCGAGGGGTGGGGGCGGTGAGACTGGTATGGGATGGAGCTGTGGCCAGCAGCACAAAGTGATTCTGCACCATCTTCTTGCATCCTTATCTCCTTTTACCAACCATATGCACATGCACAGCACACATATGCACACACATGTGCACAAGAAGTATACTTTCAAAGACCAGCGACCTCAGCTAGGTAGATGTTACTTTATGTTCAACCCAGAGGGAGGTAGTGGGTGATGGTCACAGTCGGAGCACAAAATTGGCCTGGTTATGGTTTGGGGAATCTACCTACCTTCCCACGCTGCTGTGCAGGAGAGAGTGATTCAAGAAGGCAAGAGGTCTTCTAACTGGAAGCTTTTATGAACTCTATAGACTAACCATCACTTGGAGTCTAGAGAAACAATTTAGTTTGGGGGAGGGGTGGGGCAAAGAGACTGGTTCTTCAAATCTGTCTTGGATGTTCATCTATCCATGAACCAAATGTCACTTACCCACCCCCTTCTTTCCTTCACCTCCTCACACTCAAGAGTGACCCTGAAGATTTCAGAATGAATTATGATGTCCTTGAGACATCCACAAATTCATAAAGTTCAAGGTAATTATCTATATAATAGTGAAATCAGCCAGGATGATGCTTTGGCCCCAGCTGGAGTGGGTGACACTTTAGAAGGGAGAGTACAGAGAAAGAGAGTGACTTTGAGGGCCTGGTCTTCCTTCAAAGACAAACCCAGGCCTGGACTAGATCTCATTGTTATATAAGATACATTAATGCCAAGACAACTCACTTTTCAAATCAGTAGGTAACTAACTGCTTTTGGTTCCAAATCCCTTTGGTATTTCAAGGATCTCAGTGCGTTACTTAAGATCTCATCTTTTCTTTGTCTTTTTCTAGTTATCACGGAAACAGTAACTACAAGACTTACGTCCTTACCACCAAGTAAGTGACTGTCTAGAGAGCTTGCTCTCAGTGAGGCCCGTGTGAAGGGCTCCACATGTAAACTTTTCCTTGGGAGCTCACTCTCTAGTTGAGCAAATCCAAAATATCTGAAATCTTTTGTTTAACAGCTGTGTTGACATTTATATACCACAGAATCCACCAGTTTGAAGTGTATAATTCAGTGGTTGTTGATGTGCTTACAGAGTTGTGCAGCCTCTTTGCAACAATCTAATTTTAGAACATTTCCATGATTAAAAAAATAAAACCCTCCATGGCCATTAGCAGTCACTCCTCATTCTCCCTCCCCTCTCCCCAGCCCCTGAAAACCACAAATCTACTTTCTGTCTCTATAGATTGGCCTGATCTGGACACTAAAATACCAGAAATCTTATTCAGCCTGAGCACGGGGTGGGAGGAGGGAACCACAGTCAGGCTTCTGTTGGAATCCACTTTTTTCTCAGGAAGTCCTTAGGGTAGTGGATTTTTTCATGGAGATCTGAGCCCTCCCACTAGCCCTGCACCCCAGGAAGCCTGGCTTAGTGCAGGGAGTGGGGAGACCCCACCCAGCAGCCCACGAGGTTGGAGCAGGGTGTGCTACCAGGTGGAACACCAGCAGCACGGAGCTGTCCCTGATCTCAGTGACACGTCCAGTGGTTGCCATGTCTGGGGCCCTGACCAGACATGAGGGAAAAAAAGCAAGCCCAGCCCAGGCCCTGGCCTCAAGGAGCTTTTTATCTCTCACTGACTTTTCTAATATTTGTTTTCCTAATCAGCAACTTGCTATGCTTCACCCAGAAGACTTATTTTTCAAATCAGATAGAATATTTGCTCTTGACTTTTGTATCAAAAACAAACAAAACAAGAGCATGGCAGCCTGTACCATGCTGTTCAGGTCTCAAGGGGAAGGGACCCCAAACCAAGAGGGCTGTGGATGAGAAGCCAGGGAAGGCTTCTGAGGGGCAGGGAACGAGGAAACCCTCTGCACCAACTCCACCTGTACATTGCCACCTGCTCCTTGTTTCTGCAGAAGGAGGGACCAGCAATGGCTATGCTAAAGCAGGCTCTCTTGGTGGAGGGAGCCGGCTGGAGAAACAGAGCCTGATGCACGGCAGCAGCGGCTGCATCAGCTCAGGTCAGTGCCACCTGGTGGGAGGGGCTGGGGGAAGAGCAGGTGGACAAGGGGAGAGGGACCTGCATGGAGAGGGACCATTACAACTGTCAGTCACCCATTCCAAACCCCCCAAAGAGCTATGTAAAGGACACACATCCCATTGAAGGTAAGACTTTTCAGTGATCACATTTGAAGCCTACTTAATTAAAATGGGATCAATTTTCATAAAGTTCCTCAATATAAATTATAATAATAAAGAAGTCTTCTTGGGGAGGTGACTCCTTTCCAACTGAATTACTCCCTTTAAGCCATCTCTTTTAAAGAAGGGTTTGCACGTCTGAGGGCTTACAACTTGAATTAACAACAAAAGAAACTGTGTTACTGTGCTAAGGAAATCTAGTGACATACGATCCCACATGTGCAACTTTCCAGTGGGCAGGCATCCAACACAGGCCCAGTTGTTCCTAGTGAAACATTCTTTCACGGTAGCTTTCAAGCTGAAACAAAATAAAACAAAGCAGGAAAAAGACACACACACATGCACACACATGCACACACACACACACAACCTGTGAAGCCATTTTAAAAGCCTTGGAGTGACACTAAAGAAAGACCCAAGACATACAAACAGCTAAGCTGACCAAGAGGAGCACCTGCCTTACCTGTCGAGGAACATGTCCACATCGGGTTACGTTCTAGTCCTGGCAGTGCTCTACAATTACGTGCCAGGACCTCAAGAAAAATCCTGCGTCTCCGTGTCCATGCGCTTTGACCATGGACATAAAGGACCTCCCTGCCTTCCAGTGGTCAACTGGGGAGGGGCAGTAGCACTTATTCCACCCCCCATTTCTGAGTGGCCATGGGGATGCTGTGGTGGTCCCTTTTGGTCATGGAGATCATCACCTGAAGTCCTCTGGCCCCTCCGCAGGGCCCTCTTTTATTACAGGCAGCCTGCATGTATATAGTTAGTATAACTGGAGGTCAGTCTGCTGCGGTGCTGTGATGGTTTACGCCTTCCCCCCTTGTAGGTGGAAGCACACGAGGCAATGCCTCCACGTCTAGTTACAGGAGGGCTCCTTCACCTGCCTCCACTCTGCCCAATTCACCAGGCTCAACCTTTGAGAGGAAGACTCACATCACCCGCCATGGAACATATGAAGGTACTGGTCCCAGAGATTTTAAGAGAGAACTACTCTCTCCCCCAAGTACCTTCTCTTGTTCTTTGAAGATGGAAGCATCAGCCTCCTGTCTTCACCTGTGTCTGCCCTCTCTCCTTGCTCTCCATTCTGCCTTCATTTCTTTTATGGACTCTTGTTACTTGGAGATTTTGTTGATTTATCTACCCCTCATTCATCCATTCATCCATTTAGTCACTTTTTAACTGATATTTCAAATATCTACCATGTGTTTAACACTGTGTGGGATGCTTTGATGGGTGCTTAAATGAACCATACCTGGATCTTGTCTTCAAGAAGCTCTGAGTCAAACAGACAAGATGACAGATAAAAGACTATAATGCAAAGTAGAAGGGGATTATCTTTTCTAGATGGGTCTTAAGTGAAGATTCTACATAGGAGGTGACATCTGAGCTGGGCCTTCGTGATGTGTAAGACTTCATACCTGGGGGAGAGATGAGGTGCTCTGGGCTGCGGGAGCCTGTCTCCAGACGGACAGGAGAGTCCAGGGCCCAGCTAGCAGCAGTGGTACTTATGTGAAGAGAGATGGAGAGACTCAGATTCGCTGCTAGGCCAAGCTGTTTGGGCTTTGTTCTGCACACAGTGAGGAGCCACAGAGATTCTGAGCAAAAGAGTCGATCCTATCTGAGATCCAGGACTAGAACTCTGGATGCCACATGCAGGAAGAATAGGGAAGGGGTGGAACACAGTGACAAGTTAAAAGGTGATCAATAGTCCAGGAAGGGGAAACCTTGTCTGAGACTAGGGTGGCAGCAGTGGGAGCAGACAGGAGGAGCCGGAGGTGAAAGGTGTGGCATGGCTGGAACTGACAGGTTTGACAACGGATCCAATGTTGGGGGAAGGGGAGGAAAAGGAGTCAGTGATTTGACTGGGATTTTTAAACACTGGTGGTTGGGTTCATGGTGGTACAACAACCTCAGGGAGGTCTCCCCAAGGATGGGTTCAGTCATTTCATCCTGAAGTACAGCTGCTGGCATGGCTGTCAGGTGGGGATACCAAGCAGGCAACGGGACACTAGGACCTGAGCTCAGGGAAGAAGTCCCTGAAGCTCCCTGGCAAGATACCCAGTTTGAAGTCATTCACAAAGAGATGCTAGTAGACTCTGGAAAACTGAAGGAGTTGGTCAAGGAAGAGAGTTTTAAAGCAGGAGCGAGCATAGAAAGATAAAGTTGGGGGAAGATGGAGAAAGAAGAGGAGAGGAGAGAGAAGAGTCTTTGGGGGTGCATGGGGAGACTAGGAGCCATTGAAGTCGAGAGCAAGAAAGTGCTCAGGGTCAAGAAGGAGGAGGTTAGAGGAAGACATTTGGGTTCTGCTCCTAAGGTTACTGAAGTTCAGGGTGATCTGCAGAAGCAGTTTTAGTGGAAAACAGACAAGTCAGGCGGCTCATGGGCCTAATAGTGAGTGGAGATGGATACCAGTGATGGAGAAGCAGGATTAGGGGATGGGCACCTCAGTGAATAACTTAGCCCCAGGGCTGCAGAGGGTAAAGGGAGTCCCAGATTCAGGCCAGGTGAATTGGGTCATCACAGTGCTTTCTGCTGCTCAGTCTGCATGTGGCCTGGTCCCTTCACTTGACAAGGTCCACATTCAGGACGGGCTTCACAAGGCCAGAGACACCCTGGTGCTAACAGCATGTTGATTTGATCAGATTCAGGTAACCGGCATCAGCACCACATAGGGTAAACGTGGTCGAGGAAGTGAAAACTAAAAGGAGACTCCTGTTCTCTTTTGCTCAAACCCTGCCCTTCTGAAGTAGCTCAGTGACCAGAGGGAAGTGCCACAAGCGCGTCCAGAGGGCAGGTCATGTTTAAATCAGGAGCCCACTGGAGAACACCTCTCAGCCTCCTGAGTACCCCGACTGCAGAGGCTCAGAGGAGGGTGACCCAGCTCCACCTACTCTCTCAGAGGCTGTGTGGGCTTAAGTGGCCATTTGTACTAACTGTTTTGTCCTCTCTCCAGGGAGCTCCAGCGGCAACTCTTCCCCAGAGTACCCTCGTAAGGAATTCGGTATGTCCTTTCCTTATTTTCTGAAGAAATGGTCAAGTGTGCTGGTGGGGATGGAGGCAGAACATTGTGAATTAACGTCATGAGTTAAGTGGATTCTTCTAAGGGAGTTTGGACTCTGCTGACCTGTTTCCCTTGCTCTTTAACCTGAAGCATCTCAAGGGGACTGTCAGCCACATTCGCTTGCTGTCATAAGTCTTTGCTCATGAAACGGCAAGCTATTCATACAAAGCTGAGGCTTGAAAAGATAAGCACTAAGGCCATGCAACAATCATAGGGTTTTTCCTTCCACAGGACACACAGAGATCTCCCAGCACAAAGGAGCAGGGCTTAAAACACACCAGTGCCAAACATCCCTGCACCTCCAGCACAGCCAGCTTCACAGGGGCACATGTTATACTAAGGGACATCCTAGGCTATATCTTCACGTGACCTTCCGTCTTTGGTCCATGTTCTTGGATTCTCTCTGTGCATATGAATTGATGATCATTGATTGTACAGTGATTATAATTTCATTTATTTATTTGTTTACAGCTGGAAAGCCAAGGCAGTCTCATACAAAAGACTAGAGGAAAGACCTGGCAGTTGTTTGATACATTTGACCAGCAGAGTCAGCCAGTCCAAATGGATCGTGCTCCCAAATGCAAATGATTGCTTTAGTTAAAACACTCTAAGTGTGAGCCAACCTAACATTCATTTTGCTAACTTAACACCATAAATGCACTAGAGTCTGCAAAATTCTCTCTGCCCTTTGGCTCTGTGGTCACCACTTACTAAGGATCCACTGTACCTGAAGGCTCCTATATGGCTATAAACGCACTGTGAAAACAACCTCCTCCCCCAACCCAAGTAGATCCACGTCGACATCTCTAGCATGCCACCTCTTATATATGCCTAAGTTGCCGAAGTTACTTTTCCCTGTTTTTCAGCATCTTCTTCAACCAGAGGACGGAGCCAGACACGAGGTGAGCCCTGCTGCTGGATTCAATTTAGCTCCTTCAGTATTTTCTGAACATCTATCATGTGTCCAGCCATGAGCCAGGAAGTGTGAGGGAGTAAAGAATGAACAAGGCATGGTTTCTGCCCTCAAGGAGCCTGCAGCGTCTGGGGGTCTTCTGCTGGCTCCATCGGGATGGGAAGGGTAGATTTTGACAGGGTATAGCAAGCACGTGGAGCAGTTTGTTCTGCTGTGGATGGTCTGAAGATGCTGGCGCCACATCTGGTTTCACATCTAGTCTCCTGGGTGACTTTAACAAGATGTGCTGTCATTGGTTTTATGCAGCAAAAATGAGCACAAGCCCATCTTTTTCTAGTTGTTCCCGGGGATGGAGGGCTGCTTGAGAGCACTCTCCACAACTTCCAATGGATAAGGCACTAGAAGGGAATGTGGTCCTGGAGAAAGCTGCCCAAATGATTGCCTTGTTATATCTGTTGATGGTGGGGAGGGGCACATCCGGGCTGTGCTGAAGGCAGAATTCTTCTCAGGCTCCGGGAGTTCTCAGTGACCAGTCTAGACTTCCCAGGGGTCTCGTCGCATCACTCACTCCAAAGTTAGGCATGTACCAACCACTACAACTATAGGGTGATAGGTGATAGATGCTCATGCTCCTCTTGAAGCTAATAATGTTAGACCACCCACTTTCTGCCCTGAAGAGGCCAACATGGCTAAGTAAACACCATAGGCTTTAGAATCCTCTTGCTATTACCTGAGAAACCCTGGAGGCAGAAGAGCGGCTTGGGGCTGGTGATTGGAAATGGGCTGTAGGAGAGCGGTTGGTCCTTGCTGATTGTGATGGAGCCTCCAGGCCCAGGCTGGGATTTCTGCTCCGGGATACCGGGAGGTGAGCTGGGCAGGTTGAGGTGTGGGAGAAGGACACCTCTCTTGAAACAGCACTTGTTCAGGGTGCACCTAAGTTTTCTGTTCCTAGGACGCAGAGAGCTCAGAGCAGCCCAAAGATATATCAGCCGCTCAGAGCTCAGTGTTGGGCACAGTGATCCTAGCTCCTTCATTCACAGCCTTCCCGGTCTCTTCCCTGTACAGAGAGTGAGATCCGAGTGCGACTGCAGAGTGCATCCCCATCGACCCGATGTAAGTGCTCATGTCCTAGGAAGGATCCAGGACAACTGCTCTGTGTGTGTGTGTGGTGGTGGTGGTGTGTGTGTGTGTGTGTGTGTGTGTGCAATCACTCCATCATAGAACAGCTCTAAGGGCCTGGGTGACAGGGACCCTGGGCTCAGTGCAGGGGATGAGGAGCTGAGTAAGTCACAGTCCCTGATGCTCAGTAGTTCACAGACTAATGGGAAGACTGTAAGCCAACCGACCATGACAGGTCAGGGAGCTGAGGGAGGCGGGCCAGAGAAGCCTTCCCAGGTTAGTGTCGTTTGAAGGGAGACTGAAGGGTGGATCAGGGAGGCTCAGTGAGATAAGTGGGCAGAGACATTGGAGGGACAGACAGAGACATTGGAGGAACGTTCAGTGAGGCTGAAGGAAAAGGAGCAGGACCCAGTTGGGGTCATTAAGATCAGAGAAGGACCAGAAGCAGAGTGTGAGAATTTGAACATGATCTCGAATGTCAGGAATTCCCCACTCTGTTGACTGTGTTGGACTCCTGTTGTTTGCCACTTTGAAATGAGCCCAAGTGGGCAGGAGCCAAGAGTAGGAGGAGAAAGAGCTGGGTCGGGTGGCTCAGGAATCAGACTGGGACTTGCTGGAAGAGCTCAGAGCCTGGGCTATGCGGTCTGTTCCAGGCCGCTGTCCCGCCTGAGTCTTCCCAGGCACTGGGGTGCTGAGCCCAAAGGATGGAGCCCTCAGGGGAGGGAGTGGCTGGGTTGTTCTTAAGCACATGTGATCTGCAAATCTGTCTCCCCTTATGCATTGCTCTTACACGACGCCTCCTTCCTCTCCTGTTTGCCACCTTAGGGAGCACAAGGTGCTTGCTCCACTGAATCATCTTCCTGCAAATTACATCAGCCAGACAGTCTTGAATTAACTAACAGGAAAGCAGCATAATGTTTAGGAGTTACAGGCCCCAGATTCCTTTTGATACTCTAGAGTATACGAGATTGGGGACCTGACACCAAGGCGTCCCGTGCAGGGGAGGAGACCTGTGTTGAACCATTTGTTTCAAGGAATCTAGTTCTCTGTCTCGAGTGTAAATGTTCCCCCAATCCAGGATGACAGCATCATCCAGCCACAGAGTCTGGCGCCTGATGAGGTCTAATTAGGAAATATCTACCGAGGACGTTGACCTCCTCATAGAGACACTGTATTTATGAGGCCATTAATACTACAAAGTGCCAGGTTGAAAAGTGCTATAAATTGACAAAATGCAAAAACGATCAGGCTAACCAAAAGTGTCCCAGGGGGTCCCAGATGCGTCCTGCTCCCTAGTATTCGGGATGTGGTTTAATGTTCCTCCCACTGCAGTTGGAATCAGGAAGGAATCCTGGGCCTAATGAAAAGTTGGGGGATTCTTTTACAGGGACAGAATTGGATGACGTTAAGCGTTTGCTCAAGGGAAGCCGATCAGCCAGTGTGAGCCCCACTCGGAATTCTTCCAACACACTCCCCATCCCCAAGAAGGGCACGGTGGAGACCAAAGTGGTGACAGCGAGCTCCCAGTCAGGTGAGCCCCACAGCCCCGCGCTGCTGCAGAGGGAAGGGAGGCCTCTCAGGCGGTGGCAGAGAGTTTGGAAAGCACTGAGCATTTGCTCTCCCTGCTGCATGAACATGTGGGCTACACCCTTCTGACCCCCACCTGGTCAGTCAGCCCGTGTGCTAGCTGTAGTCTGGCTCTAGATTCTGGATATTCTCTCCCAGGAGATTCTTGACAAATCCTGGGAATGTGTTGGCCAGGTTCTCCAGATGAAGGATGTTGGGGGAAGTTGCAGTGTTTTCTTTCATCCGTCCAGTGAACATTTATCATATGTCTCCTCTGTGCCAAGTACTGGGGACTGAGGAAAGGCAATGAACGAGGTAGACAGCCACTGCCCTCGTGGAGGTGGGGGCCGCTGGGGGAAGTCAGGTAGGCTGCGTGTGGTTCAGCGCTCATGTATCAGGTACCTGCAAGTGCAAGGTAGGTTCTGGGGGAGGCAGAAAGTTGAATAAGCAAATCCTTGGGGGGAGATGAGGAAAGAAGTCAGTGCTGCTATGGTATGAAGCTTTCCTCTCATCTCCTGCTGAAAAAAATTAACCTTGAGGTTGTGATCTTTTGTTTGACAATATAAAACCAAAACCTCAGGGTAGTTTGTCATCCACATGGCTAACTCCCTCTCATATAATAAATAGGCAGAACTGGCTTCAGATGTGAAGAAGTAGAGTGCTCCTGGGTTCTGGTTGGCACATAAGAATGTTTAGGGAGGGATTAACCAGAGAAGGCTGCCCTCTGTGCAGTGCGACCTTGAAACCGAGGGCTTCCCCACCTGCCCTCCATCTGCCTGGAATTCTGTTGTAAGGGAGTCCCTGCTCCATGGCATCTCTGAAGGTGGAGTCAGCAACAGAGAGAGAGTGGGACCAGTGGATGAGGACAACACATCAGGAGTGGGGGTTACGGACACAGAACAGGAAATGAGTGGACCCCAGAGCAAAATTTATCTACTTCAAATTAAACTGAAAGCCAGCAAGAATTTCTTATCTAAGAGATTACGTTTTCATCAGCTCTGAGACTTCAGACATGAGTGGGATGACCACCTGTCCCAGTTTGTCCCAGTCTGAACTGAGGGAGTTCTCAGGACATGGGACCTTCAGGGCTAAAACTAGAAAAGTCCTGGCAGACTGAGCCCACCAGGTTCCCCCAGCACAGAGAGTGGGTTTGTCGCTCACTGGGGTATGAGTGGACACATCTGTTTCCAGTGTCTGGGACCTACGATACCACCATCCTGGATGCCAACCTTCCCTCCCACGTGTGGTCCTCCACGTTGCCAGCCGGGTCCTCCATGGGCACCTACCACAACAACATGATGACCCAGAGCTCGTCCCTGCTCAACACCAACGCCTATTCTGCAGGATCAGGTACATGGCTCGCAGAGCATGTCCCCTCCCACCCCTGAACCCTACACACCTTCCTCCCACAAAGAATGACCCCTCTGGCATTTGCCATCCCCAAGGCTTCCTGAAGGGGCTTTCTGTAGCCAAGCATCCCAAGATTCTTCCACTGAAACTTCAGTTCAGTTCAACCTCTAAGGTGTTTCCTCTCAGGGTCCCTCATAGAAAGAACTATATGGCACGGGGTATCTGAAAAAATGTAATGGGAAAGAACATGAAAATAGATACAAGGAACCTAGTTTCACTCCATGTAGATTAACTGTGTGACTTTAAGAAGTCATTTAACTTCTCTGGGCTTCAGTGCCTTCTCTGTAAAATGGTCACTAGCAAGAGGGGCTTTGGCAAGAATCAATGTCCTTTTGAGGCCCCACTAACCTACAACCACCCCTTGGCTCTGACCCAAGACACACCACAGATTAGTGTTTGGGTATGTGCTGCAAGGCAAGAGCCTCAGTTTCTCCTAAAAACAGAAATGTGATGCAATATAAAAATGCAACCCTGGTATTTCTTCTGGTGCTTTTTTGCCCCTATTCTGTGTGGACATCCTCTCACCAGCCTTCCTCCGCCCCTGCAGTCTTTGGAGTTCCAAATAACATGGCATCCTGCTCCCCTACCCTGCACCCTGGAATCAGCAGCTGCTCCTCAGGTCAGTGTTTGCCAGCTTGAAAAAATTAGGGATGCTCTCACTTGGTAAGGAAAACAGAATGTTTTTTGGAGAAGATGTCCTTTCCTGCCCAAGAGTATGAAGGCTTCTCCACGCACATGACAGCGCAGAAGCGGCAGCCAAGGAGCTGCATTCCAAGGCACAGAGCCCGCCCTCCATGGCAGACCCAGCTCAGGCCCCAAGGGACAGGGGTAAAGGGGAGGGCGCCAGAGACCACACCTCCGTGCTTGTTCTGCGCTGGCGCCTTTAGTTAATGGGAGAGGTGGAGAGATGGACATAGAGGGACCGAGTGAGGCATAGCTCAGGACATTTTCAGGTGGGAAGCACTGTTAATTTAGAAAGGCCATAACTTCAGATTTTTTATATACATTATAGTTCTTTGGGGGCTCGGATATTGTTACTGCTTAGCTTCCAATGCAAACATATGATCATTTTAAAGAAGTAGCTATTCACTCTATTTCTGCAGACATCATAATAGCCTTGTGTGTAAATAAGCTGTCAGCCTGCATCCTGTATTAAATGAGTCGGCCTTCTATCTGTGATATCATGACTAATAAATACAGTGATGTGGGCCTTCTCCATTTCCTTGGCTGGTCTCTCTGCTTCTGATTTTAACACCTCCAGTTGGCTAGAGTCTCACAAATGCAGAAGACCCCAGGTTCAAGCTTTGCGCCCCCTGCCTTGGCTATTCTGCTTTGCAAAGTCCTGCCTGAGGAAGGTGGGCTGATGTTGGATCCATGATCTTGTGTCCCAAGCACTAGACAGGATAGAATCAGAGAAGCTCTTAACTAGTGTGAAATGAGCTTCTGCACGTGGTTAAAAAGCAAGCAAATAAAAAGAAATGACCAGCCTTTGGAATCATAATGGGGGTGAGGGGAGTTTTATGTGTCTGAATCAGGAGAAGGAAGGGTCAGGAGGAAAACTAGGGTCCCACCCATTCAGTGCGTCTCAGCCCCTGTTGTGTCTGTCTCCGCAGTTCCCACATTGTGCACCGAGGCACCCCAGGGTGCTGCAGGGAAGGGAACCCCTGGGATATTTTAAAATTTCGAGGCATGCAGCAACATCTGTCAGACCCTATGCAAACTACCACTGTTAAGTTCAATAAATGAACTTGGTCACTCTTGCCCCGGGATAGGGAGGTGGGGCAATAAAAAATCATGGTGTCACTAAGAGTGTGGGAACTGACAATGTCTGGGAATCTCTGTCATATGCAAAGGCATTTATCACAACTGTGGTTTGGGGGACCCCAGGGGAGGATGCCTTACCTCGAGGGGCCTCATCTATGTACCTGTACTCACCTATCCTCAATTCCTCTCACAGTGTTTGGCATGCAGAACAATCTGGCCCCCAGCTCATCTGCCCTGTCCCATGGCACGGCCACCACCTCCACAGGTCTGCAACTGGGGTTTAGAGGCTAGGAGCTGGGAAGTAATGCCTCTTGGCAGCTATAACTCATAATGTCCCTTTTTGACAATGGAATTAGAGGGACCAAAATGTTCCTAAAAATCAATCAACCTTTCCCACCAAAGAAACAACCCTCCACACCCCAACCCAGAGATGCCAGCCTCAATCATTTGCTGACTCAGACATGAATGAAACCACAAGGGGAGCCGGGGAGCCTGGGCAGGGCAGCGGTGGGGGGGTGTCACCAGTCTATCCCCTTGTCTCACTGCTGTCCTTGACAGCCAACTATAGCTGCAAGTCAATCATCTGGCTGACTCTGATGCATGCCCTGTGCAAACTTGGAGGTGGGGGGCAGAAGCAGCTTGAGCCTCAGTCGGTCTTTGCCCTCACGTGCTTACTGCTTAGTTGGTGTAGAAAGTCTAAAACACGTGAAATGGCTGGGGGATTCTGTAATAGGATGTGAATCAAGCTGTACAGAGCAAGTGTTTGGGCTGTGGAGTTCAGAAGGGAAGGAGATGTGGGAGGGTCTAGGAGGACTTCATGGAGGAGGTGGCCTTTGGAATGGTCCTTTGATAATGAGGATTATACCAAAGAAAGTTTCATTTATACTTGCTGCTGCCCCTGTGGCTAAAGACAGTTGATTCCATTGTTTGTTATTATTCTGCTCATTATTATCATTCATTATTATCTCACCTGGGAAAGCTGCTTCTAAGCTGCATGGAGCTACCCTCCCACGCTGGCCTCGCTCACTCCTTGCTTCATCTCTTGCAGCATATAGTGTGAAGAAAAACATGCCCCAGAGCCCTGCCGTGGTGAGCACCGGGGTGTCCACCTCCAAGGGTGAGTGGTGCTCCAGCTGCTGGGAACAGGCTCGCACCCAGGGAGAATTGCTCCCCAATGACACGTGGCAGGAGGGCCCATGGCCCACTGGTGGTCTGAGGTCTGCAAATACACCCCATGGGCCTCTGGGTTGTTCCCAATAGTGAGCAGAGATGAAAGTGTATGTCCCTCGCCTGATCTTGGCCGTCCTGGGCAAGAGGTAGGAAGCTCCACCCTCCATACCTGCTCAGGGTCAGGCACTCAGAGCCCAGCCCCACACTTGTTGGAAGCACCTGGCCTGCTCCTGTCACAGGTTATCCGTCCCTAGGGCCAGGGCACCCCTAAAAAGCTGTTGCCTGCACCCTCCATACTTTCTGTGGGATCTCTGTCGACTTGAGTACATGACACATGGTAGCCTATTTCTTCCATGGCTCTGATCCTGCTGTGTTTCCTTCCATTCAACAGTTCATGGGGGAGGGTATATCTCAGTGGTAGAGTGCTTGTTTAGCATGCAGGAGGTCCTGAGTTCAATCCCCAGTACCTCCATTTAAAAATGTTTTTAATATAAATAAGTAAACCTAATCACCACCCCACCACTACCACCAAAAAGAAAACATTTCAAAAAACATTTACTGAGCACCTGCTTTCTGTGAGACAGACAGTGTTCCATGTGCCTGGAATACAGACTAGATTCCTGCCCTCACTGGGCTGACAGTTCCCATGGAGGTGGCAGATAACAAACAAGTAGACAAAGTACACAAGATAATTACAGCAAATGCCACGTGTTTGAAGGACAGACACAGTGAGGTGGTAGAGACATGCATGGGTGTATGTTAGGCTGGGCAGTCAGGAAAAGTGCCACCAAGACACTAACACCACAGTTAGAAATGAAACCACGCAGTTAACTAAAGAAGGGTCTGCCTGACACGAGGACTTTTGCCCATTCACTGCAGGTCCTGTAACATCCAAGTGGGAGGCAGCCCCCAGGCCAGCCCCCTGTGCTTCTGACATGGACCCAACCTCCTGACGGTCAGGCCCATTCAGGCAGGAGAGGGTGTCCCCAAAATGCTTCTTAGTAACTGCTGTCAGCAAGATAGTCCCACTAATCCTTGTCTTCCTCTCCTTCCTCTTCTGGCCATTTCTTCCCTCTCCTTCTCCCTCTACCTTTTCCTTCCTCCTCACTCACTTCTTTCCTCTCCAGCCAGCACCACAAATGTCCAGAATGATGACCTCTTGCACAAAGACTGTAAATTCCTGATCCTGGAGAAAGACAATGTGCCCGCCAAGAAGGAGATGGAGCTGCTGATCATGACTAAGGACAGCGGGAAGGTCTTTACCGCCTCCCCCGCCAGCGTCACTGCAAGTACGTGGGAGCCCACGAGACTCAGGTTTTGGAAAAAAGACGAAAAGTGTAGGCAAACATCCTAGCAACGTGGTTTGAGACACTTGAATGATGAAACCAGAGTCATCCCATTCAAATGCAAAATGCCTGCTGAATAGGGTGTCCCAGGGTCTGCCTTGAATGCAGACAAGCCAGGAAAATTGCAGCAAAGAGCTCCCAGAGTGGTTACTGGGCAATGGCAAGTCTCCTAACCACAGGTCCAGACTTGGAGTCGGGGTGGGGACTGACTCCAGGGGTGGCCACTTCCTACCAGGCTAACCTCTACCTCCACAAGCAGGAAAGAATATGAGGCGGGGGCAGGGGAGTGGGGAGAGAATATCCCGGATTATCAGGGGTTGTGTGCACAGCTTCTTTTTCAGAGGACACCCTGAAAAAGGAAAAGCAAGCTGCCTATACCGCGGACACCCACCTACTGTCAGAAGCTAATGGTAAGAGCAAATCTGATCACTGACCACTTTGACTTTAGCCAATCCATCTGTCACTTGTCTTCTAAGACCTCCCTACTCTAAGTGTGGTCCTGAACCAGCAGCATTGGTAAAATCCTAGAGCGTGTTAAAAATGCAGACTCCGGGGCCCTAGCCCAGACCCGCATTTTTATTTTTAATGGAGGTGCCGGAGATTGAACGCAGGCCCTCGTGCACGTGCTCTGCCACTGAGCTATACCCTCCCCCAAGGCTGCATTTTAACAACTTTCCCCCACTGACTAGTGTGTGCTTACTTTGAGAGGGAAGCGATTCCATGGCACATCTAAAGTTCACAGTGGTATTTTTCCCTCACCTTCTCCTCCCATAATTTTCAGAACTAATAGAAAAATGCTTTGCAAAGCACTTGGTAGCTTTATTTTTTTTCTTCCCAAATACCTGGATTCTGTCCTGGATAACCACATTTCTTCGCTGCTCTGGGTCCTGTGAATCTCTCAGAAAAACTGATTTCAGGGAGGTCAGTAAAGGAAGAGATAAGTTAAGTCATACAGCATCAGCTACAATCCTCTCAAAGCCTGACTCTAAGTCTTCTAAGTTAGCAGTTCCTTATATTTTAGGGTTGGAGGTGGGGCTGTGGAGCCAAAAGACTCTTTTCAGAATCTAATGAAAACTGTAAACAATTTTCCCAGAGAATTCCACACATGCCCACAAACTCAACGTGCAGATGGCATCAGAGACTCATGATGAGCCCTCTTCCAAGCCCGTCCCTGCCTTTCTGTTCCATCCACTCCAAGTTAGGAACCTGTGTTCAAGGTCCCTTAACCAACTGCTCGCCTCAGCAGCACATATACTAAAATTGAAACAATACAGAGAAGATGAGCATGGCCCCTGCACAAGGATGACACGCAAATTCGTGAAACGTTCCATATTTTTGTAGATACTGACAGGTATATATAAAATAGATAAAATAGATAAACAAGTTTATACTGTATAGCACAGAGAAATATATTCAAGATCTTATAGTAGCTCATGGTGAAAAAGAATGTGAAAATGAATATATGTATATTTATGTATGACTGAAAAATTGTTATGTACACCAGAAATTGACACAACATTGTAAGGTGATATAACTCAATAGAAAAAAAAGAAGAGAGAGAGAGAATACAAAGTCCCTTAATCAAGAAATCAAGACTGATTTCTCACTAGCACATTTATTGTTTGAAAGCCATGGTCACCCTTAACATGGTCCTCTAAAAATGTCTTGGGCTTTCAAGGTTTAAGGTCACAAGAAGGTTATGACACTGTGCTTTTTCCCACTGTGAATTGTTTGCCAAGCCATGTCTCCATCAATGAATTTATTGCAAATATGAGATCAGCAAGGACTGAGTTAATGGACATTCCTGTACGTGGCTGCTCTGCAGGGTGCCTGGGAGTCATAGCTACTTCAGGCCTTGCCCCAAATCAATGCACAGGCTATCCTGTGGGTTCTTGCAGTTTAAAAGCTCAGGTCAAACCCATGTTTGTCTTTCAGGAGAATTGAAGACTGTGTCTGCAAAGGGCAAGGCTGCCTCTGCAGGTGGGTGAGAACAGCAGGTCCTTCAGTGATGGATGCTGAAGGGGCTGGTTATGATGAACAGAACAGACAACGGCCCCTTAGCCTGGAGCCAGGGCACACATGAGCCACCAAGCTCTAAAGAGTTTTCCCTAAGGTTCGAAGGGGGCTGCTGGAGGGGCCAGATGGGGTCTGTGAGCTGGAGCAGGGCTGCAAAAGGATCTTAGCTTAGGTGATGTCGCTCACAGGCCCCACTGCCCCTGCTGGGCACCCACTGTCTGCCCTTAGGTCCAGGGTCTGCCAACACGGCAGGAGCAACACAGCAGGGCTCCTGTTGTGTCTTACAGAACCCCCCCCCAACATGGGTTTCAAGGTGACACTAAGACCACGCACACCTCCAGCCCTTCACACTTTCCTCACTTGCCCCACAGTCTTCTGAAAGAAGCAGATCAAGGGGTATCAGCCCACTTTAGATACTAAAAGCTAAAAACATTTCTACTGGAAAAAAAAAGAAAAAGAAAATCCTCCTGGCCACCCTTTAAGTGCTGAGTGTAGTTCTAGTTACTGTGTGTAGGGATTACAAAGAAAGAGCTGTGTGAACAGAGATGTGGTGATGGAATTCTTCAAGTCTGAGCATAAAAAAAGATGCAGGAGGCTGTGGCAGATGCATACTCGTAAACAAGAATTTTAAGCCTGGGGCTATGTGCTCTAGCCTCTGCTGATTACTTATTTAAATATGCCTTATTTCCTTCAACAACCATCTGATGAAGAAAGCAAACTTTAAATCCTATTTTATCAAGAAAAAAGAAAGAAAGAGAGGTTAAGTGACCTTCTCAGGGTCACACAGCTCAAGCCCAGGATTGTGAGACTTCTGCTCTTTGCCCACGGCAACCCTGTGCTCATTCCAGGAGCGACACAGGAAACGGAAAGCTTCACTCAGGCCCAGAGGGAGTCACCAAAAGTTAGAGAATTTGGAAGGCAGAGGGCTCGAGCTGCCCACCCTCACCCTACCCTGTCCTCTCTTCCACAGACATCCACGGCTATGACCACCGCCGAGGCGGTGGCGGAGGCGGTGGCGGAGGCTTTGGCGGCAGCACTGGCGTTGGCGGTGTTGGCAGTGGAGGCAAGGGCTCGTGGGGGGCAGCGCCAGCCTGGTGCCCCTGTGGTTCATGGTGCAGCTGGTGGAAGTGGCTGCTGGGCCTGCTGCTCACCTGGCTGCTGCTCTTGGGACTGCTCTTTGGCCTCATTGCTCTGGGTATGTGGTGACAGCGGCCCCGCTGCCCATTTAGGAGGGCCAGAATCAGCACGTGCACCAAGTTGGGGCCAAGGGCCCCGACCTTCAGCGCAGACCCCTTGTTAATACAGATGAGGAGACTGAGGCTCCAGGAGGCATCCGATAGAGGCCCAACGGCCACTCGGTGCCAGAGCTAGGACTCTAATACAGGGCCCCGACCCTGTGGCAGCCCGCTCTGAGCATTCAGCTGTCCTTAATCAGGCCCGACCTTTCATAGCCTTTTAACTTTCCACGTTCGTTGGCTCTCACCCAGCTCCCCAGCAGGGTGAGGACAAGCTCTGTCACCATCTCAGATGATGGCAGGCTTCTTCAAGGCTTGGTTCCAATTTTGAGTAGCTCATCCCACTTGCAGCCACAACCAACAATCTCCGTGTAAAATATTCCAACAAAACATCCCCAGGTCTGAAGAAGCTGCCACAGACCCCAGAGCCCCTGGCGGGATGCACGTGTGCTTGGGAGGCTCCACTCCAGGCCCCTGTGGCTGACACTGCCTCCGTGTGTCCTTTTCAGCCGAGGAGGTGAGGAAGTTGAAAGCACGGGTGGATGAGCTGGAAAACATCGGGAGCAGCCTGGTGCTTTACAACAAGAAGATGGAGAGCAGAAAGCAGGACCCCCTGCAGGGTGTCAACCCCGATCTGACAGCGAATGTGGGGACATCTAGGCTTGGAGACTACAGCCAGGAGGAACTCTGGCAGTTCGTGAGGGGCAAGCTGATGATGGAACAGGAAAACGGTGAGTACATCCCTGGGCAAATGGCCGGCCGGCTCCTGGTCCCAGCTCCTGTGCCTCTGTGTGGAGCGGTACCCATTCAGGGCACTCTCAAGCTCCCCTCATTCAGCCCCTTGACAGCCCTGGGAGGGAGGACCTGTGTTGTGATCCCATTTTCGGGTAAGAAAACTGAGACTTAGAGAGAATTGCCCAAGATCAAGATTGCACAACATAAAAAAAAAAAGAAAACACACAACTAGCCCACTTTAGAACCTGATTGCCAGTCTTAGCCTCAGTTTCTTCCCACTATACCATGGCGATCCCTTCGTGTGTGTGTGTGTGTGTGTGTGTGGCACAGAAGATGTTCAGCTAACTCAGGCTTTACTGTCTCTTGCAGGGAATCTCCGAGGAAGCCCTGGCCCTAAAGGTATTGCAGTCGATGGACCCCTTTCCCTGCTTTCATCTGGGGGAATTGGAAAACTTTTCTTTTTTCCAAATTGAAAGATGAGCAGTGGAAAGATCTTACAGAGTCTGTTGGGAGGGTTGAGAATTGGCTTTACAGTCAGAATATCTCAGAACGGGAAGGAAAAAAGGCATCGTCTAAGAGAGGCCGAGTGATGTGCCCAAGAGACAGTGATGGAGACCGAGGAAGCCACAACATAGGCCAGCTCACCCTGAAATGTGACAGCAGCTCACCCTGCTGTCAGCTGGTCTTAAGATACTAGGGGAGAAGGACCCTTGGGGTTTCACCCCATCTCACAGTTTTCGTATCTTTCTGATTTTAGGTGACATGGGAAGTCAAGGCCCTAAAGGTAAACAGAACATGGAAAGTTTTACCTTAAATATTAGTGAGTGTTGACGGTTTAAAACAATCAACGAGCGTCAGAAGAGGCACCTCCCACTCGCCCTGTCCATCTCCCCGCTGTGGTAGGACTGTGAATTGCAGAGCAGCCTGCAGACCCTCAGGCTTTGAGGGGCAGGGGTGTCAGGACAAAGCAGGGCTACATCTCTGGGGGGCAGCAATGTCCCTGGTCTCTTCTCAGGGACTCCCAGAACAAGGACCCTGGGCCTACATGTCCCCCAGCTCCAAAGGGCAGCCTCAGGGCCTGTTACTGCACAACCCCAGGGGGAAGCTGGAGAAGTAAGGATTCCTGGGCCCTGCCAGGAAATCAGCTCCTGGATCAGATGCTCTGGGGCTCGACCCCCTCCCCCAAGGTTAATTCTGATGAACGGGTCAGGAATCAGCCCTCCAGGCGAGCAGCCTGCTCTTGGGGGTCTTAGCTGGGAGGCTGAGTGTAAACCCACCAGTCAGGAATGGTGCTCCTGTGCAGGAAATTCAGCAGGAGCAGCACCATCTGCCTTCAGGGGAAGAGGGGGAAGCCCAGCAGGGAGGCAGGACATAGTCACAGGAAAAGGGGCCCCTCCGTGTTGGTTAGCTGAGGGACAATCACATGCTGACTTGTGTGGCACACATTCAGTTGCCATAGGAAACTGATATATGTCCCCAGAAAAGTGGTTTGACGGGACAGGCCCATGGGTGGGAGGAAGAGCTTTCCCATCGCAATGACCACAGCAGTGCCCCTTGATCTAGCTGAGTGGGGTTCACAAGCTTTAGGGGGTATGGGAATTGCCTGAAGATTCTGGGCCCCACTCCCAGAGCCTCTGATTGAACAGGTGTGGGTGGGGCCACGAGTCTGTGGTCTGGGTCACCCCAGGTGGTTCTGAGGCCAGGGGTGCAGAGTCGAATCCTTATTGGCGACAACAGGCTCGCCTCTCTCTCCTCAGCTCCACCTCCCTTCCCAGCTCCACCTCCCTTCCCAGGAGATGCCAGAGCAGGAACTGGGGTTCCTCCACTTGATGGCCCTCTACCTCTCGTCCGGATTCCCTGTCCTCATACATGCCCCAAGTCACTGCCTCAGCCCCTCTTCCCCCAAGATTCCAGCTGGCTGGCCAGGCAGCCCACCCCTGACCATGATGGCGATGGAGACTAATGGTCCCAGAGCCCCTGGGCCTGCAGTGGCCATGAAACACAAGTGCCCAGCCAAATCTGAATTACAGATAAGCAACAAATCATTTTTCACACTAAGTATGTCTCAAATACTAAAAATTTGTTCATTGTTTATCTGCAGTTCAAACTTAACTGAGCGTCCCATATTTTCACTTGCTAAATTTGGTAATCGTACCTGAATTTTGCTGGTGATGCCTTTCGGTGATTGGCCCAAGTCCTCTGCTGACTTCTGTCTTCTCTCTGTTTCCACAGGAGATCGAGGCTTCCCTGGGACTCCAGGTGCGTAGACTCTGGTGGTGCTGCTGGGCTGCAGGCTGCCCTGTCCTGGCCCCTAGGTCTGGGGGGAAAGCAGGGCTGAGCTATTCTCATGTGTCCACAGGTATCCCCGGGCTTTTGGGCCACCCAGGTCCAGAAGGACCAAAGGGACAAAAAGGCAGCGTGGGTAAGAACCGCTTTTCCATTCACTTATTCCCTCATTGCTTCATTCAGTAAACATTTGTTAATGTGTGCCAGGCCTGCTGTGTGCCAGGCCCTGTCCTAGGGGCTGGGGAGACAGTGGTGAACAAAACAGGGAACCCCTGCCTATGTTTGGGTGGAGATAAGCAGTAGACATGATAAATAAGTGAAGTGCACAGAGGGCAGGAGTGGTTTGTGAAATACGAAGACAGAGTCCAGCAGGGCACTGGGAGTGCTGAGGGGGTAATTAAAATAGGGCCATCAGGGAAGGCTGACCAAGAAGGTGCTGTTTGAGCAAAGATGTGAAGAGGGTGAGGAAGCCAGGCCTGTGGAGATCTGGGGGTAAACATTCAAGGCAGAGGAGCAGCTGCAGGCCCCAGGGCAAAGGTTTGGCTGTGTGGCTAGGAGCTTGGGGAGGAGACCCAGGCTGGAAACCACGAAGGAGGTAGAGAGTCAAGAAGGAGGGGCCCTGGAGGCCTTGTAAGGACTTTGGCTTTTGCTCCCAGTGAGTTGAGAAGCCATCTGCAGGTTGGGGCAGAGGTGGGACATGATCCGCTTGCATTTTTAAACTCTATGCCTCTGCACTAAGCCTGGGCTGCAGAGGGAGAGGCTGGGAGATGAGGGCAGAGGCTCCAGGCAGGCATCCTGCCAGCGAGATGCTGCCTGTGGCCCTTGAGCTGCAGCACTGGGCCCTAACTCTGTGGTGGCCGTTCCTGTCTTTAGGAGAGCCCGGCATGGAGGGACCCATGGGCCAGAGGGGGCGAGAAGGCCCCATGGGACCTCGTGGTGAACCAGGGCCCCCTGGGTCTGGAGAGAAAGGAGACAGAGGTAAGAGGTGATTCCTTCACCAGGAGGGTTAGCTGTGTCCACGCCTCGTCCTTCCATTGTCACCCCCGCCACTAGCATTTGCTGAGCACCCTCCTTGAGCCAGGGTCTGTGCTGACCCCGCAGAGACAGTGGTCTAATGACAGGGCATGGGCTGAGCTGTGGGTTCAGGCCTAGGGCTGAGACCCCTGCAGTGCCTGGAATCCATAGAGAATATGGTCACGGGGAGAAAAGGTCCTCTCAGATGGGTATAGGGAAGAGTGCGGGCTGAGGTGGAAAACTCAGGTAGGGCAGAGCCCCAGGGAAGGCAGAGTGGGTGTGCAGGGCCTGGAGCCTCTCATGCCTGGAAGGAAGCAGGGGAAGCCTCAGACACAAGCCCAGCCCTGGAGGCAGCTGGGAAGATTGTACAGTTAGATTCTTAACCATGAGTCTGCTTTTATCAGCGCAAACCAAGCACAGACACCAGTAACTCTCAGTACCAAAAGATCATGAGCAAGAAGCTTATTTTTAGCTTCACTTTCTCTTTAAAATATTGCTTAACTAGGGAACAAATATATATTTACTACCTACTGAATGCCAGACTTCATGTAATATAAAGGCTTTGAATATGGAAGGTGTTTTGCTGATTCTTGGCCTCACAGAAGCACCAAGTAGATCAGAGACCACTAGCAGGGTGGGAAGCATCCCGCTCACTCCCTCAAATGACACCACTGGGCTAAGCTGGCAAGCAAACTGGGGGGATCCTCTCAGAATACTCATTTCTCCTCAGGGGCTGCTGGTCAACCGGGTATTCAAGGTCCACCTGGTGTCCCTGGTTCTGTGGGTCCCAAAGGTAAGTCAAGTGCCCAGATGGTACCCAGTTTGCCATATCCAGGATGGATCTCAGAGGTCCAGGCACTGGGATTCCAGACAGCCCTAACCCATGGCCCCAGGCCTGTGTGGGGGTGATGGGCCCAGAGAGAGTCCCCCCCAAAGGAGTTTCTGGCATCAGGATCAGGGCTGCACTTTTGGCTCCATGGTGCATTTGCTGCCACGTTTCCATCTCTCTTCTACGGCCCTGTTATGTGGCCCCAAAGTGAGTGGATGAATCAGGAAATCAGAAGCCAGACAATGTCCTTGCCGGCTGGGGCCTAGATGCGCACATTCAAGAGCAACATCTGGACCACCCAGGCAAATGGGGCCTTCTCACAGTGCGATGCCCATCTGGTCACCTCTCCTCCCTGCCCCAGCCCCAGCCCACATGTTTGACTCTGACCGGGAAGGAGCAAGGAGTCTTGATCCCAGGAAGCTGCAGCTTCCTCCCTAAGGAGGACTTTGCACCGGGGTCACTCCAGACCCACAGACTCTCAGATCCTCATAAGAAACTGCACTGTGCGACACACACAAACAGGCCTCACCTGGAAGTACGCCCCTCTACCTCCCACTCACCATCGCATCCCTGGCCCATGCCTGACCTTCTGATAAACATTGTCGTGTCGTCTTCTTCAGGTTCCAGCGGCTCTCCTGGCCCACAGGGTCCCCCAGGTGGGTAGCCTTCTTCTTATAAATAGATGCTATTTCTGGGGCAAAGAAAGGGGATGTTGAAAGGGAAAACAAACATTTTTAAAGCAAAAGAAGCAATTATAAAGAGAGTCACCTGGAGTCATAAAACTCATGTCTGCTCATGTGTCCCCTGCTGCCAAGGTCAGGTACCTGATGGGTCCCTTGAGACCTGTTCTGACCTGACTTGAGCACAAGGCCCTCCAGCGACTTCAGCAGCAGGTGGCTCTCATCCTGCCTTGATCTGAGCAAAGTGCCAGCCTCCACCTCATCCCCTCTGGGCCAGAGCCCATCCCGCTGACCTGGGAGGCTCAAGCTGCAGCCCATACTGTAATGCAGGCCAACATCTCTGCCAGGGTCCCATGGGGAGTCCTCGTGCCGGGCCTGGTAATCTCAGGGACAAGGAACCTGGACCAGGATGATATAGCAGGGACATGGGGATGAGTCTGTAGACACTTAGCACCAAGGTGTGTGTGCCTTGTGTGTGCCTGGCACATGTGTGTGCATGTATACAAGCATGTCCATCCCTTCCAAAGCTGAGGACACTCACCCACCTGTGTGGTTCCCTCTGCCTGCAGGCTCCATAGGTCCCCAAGGACTCCGAGGCGAAGTGGGACTCCCTGGTATCAAAGGTAAGCTGGGGGAGGAGTTGGAGAGAGGGGACATCCCTCTGTTGATGCTACTCAACAAGGAGGTCTAGGGGGACAGGGAGGATCTGGTGGACAAGAGCAAAGCTGCACAGGCCAAGAGGTGTGTGAGGGGAAGGGGCAGTCAGGACAGCAGGGCAACCTGTTTTCAGACTCAGACTCTGCCCCTTCTTGGTCACCCTGCCAAGACTCTTTACACTAAGGTGTCCATTTCCTTTTCAGGTGACAAAGGGCCTATGGGACCACAAGGACCCAAAGGTATGTTGTTCTCCTGCTGCTCGGCTATCACCACAGTCTGCCAATTCCTGAGACCCAGATGTGACCCAGAGGTCTGAGAACTCGGATGACTTGGCTACTGGACCCTGGGGCCGGGAGGGATTTGAGATTCTAGTCCAAGCTCTCAAATAGGGAAACTGAGGCACACAGAGGGGAAACAAAGCACCACCATCATTGTACTGTGGTTGGGTGGTCCTTGGGGTGGCAAGGACACAGCACTGAGACTTCTCCCCTCTAGTCTGGTCCCCCTTGTGCTCACAGCACCCACGGGTGCAACAGCAGGGTCTGGGTCATTTGTGGGTGGGCCCTGACCCAGGAGAGATCTAGCGTGCTTTTGGGGCTTTATGAATGCCAGGGTCTTGCCAACATTTAGCAGACAGCAGCTTACAGGTACGCTGGGAACCGTTCTGCAGCCAGGGGTCCCTCTTGCTGGGTGAGATTGTTCCTGTGCTCTTGATTGATAGTTCCCCCTCCCCCGTCCCTCCCCCGTCCCTCCCCCGTCCCTCCCCCTGCCCCATGTTTGTTTTAGGTGACCAGGGTGAGAAAGGACCTCGAGGCCTCACAGGTCAGTCCCACACAGGAATCTGCTGTGACCCACTAAAGGTGTTTGGCAAATCCATTGGGAACTGGAGGTGGGAAAAAAAATACAGAAGAATGAGACAGAATCTCTGTCTAAAGACCTTCAGAGAACTTGCAATCTAGAAAAAAGCAAGACAAGACAGAATAAAGCACTGAATGGAGTATAAACCAGCATCAGTATGTATGGTCCAGACGGCAATGTTCGGGGCAGAAGAGGGAATTTATGGTTGTCTCTGATTCTTTTGAAGAATTCAGCTGGAAAAATGAAGCTTTTCCCAAAGTAGCAGAAAGTTTACTCTACTTGTACCCCTACATCCACTTACCTCCTGACAACTTGCATGATTAAAAAGGAAATTAGTAGTACTAGTGCTTTGGCTACAAGGGGCAGCTTTTGGTTGCCAAGGAAATAAGGCTCATACATAGGCCCCTTCAGGCCAGGTGTGGCCTCTGGCCCAGTCTGTGCCTGCTGCTGGGGATGGGAAGCCTGATGTTAGAAGCGAAGCTGGCGCCGTGTCCTCCACCTCTGGTTGGCACACCATGCTTCTCTGGTTGGCAAGGTGGCAGGCTTGGGGGTGGACAGGGAAGATGCAATGCTGCACCCCTGTCAATCACCTCCAACCAGCTAAGTCCATTTCCTTTGCAGGTGAGCCCGGCTTGAAAGGTTTGCCTGGTGCTATGGGCGAGCCCGGTGCTAAAGGAGCAATGGGTGAGTGTCCCAAAGCAACTGACACCATGGGTCTGCCCTGTTCCCATCATCATCCTGGCCATAGAGTTGAGATCCTTCTAGAGTTGTGTCTCCCGTTGTCTGATCTGCCCACCTCTGGTAGAGATTCTGTTTACAGGCTCTTCCTAGATCTGGACATCCTTCTTGGGGCTCAGGGAACTACTGTCTCTGATGGTTTCTTACTGCTCAGGGGAGGGGAAAGCTTGGCAGAGTATGGTCCATCCACCCTGGTTCCTGCATCTAAGCCACTCAGGCCCTTGGGAAGGACAGACAATGGCTGAGGTCCTTTGGAACCACAGCATTCCAGGCATGGCCCTGATACTTCAGGGCAGGTCTCACAGCCAGATCCAGGGTTCAGCCCTTTTACTCAGGGGCCTGTCAGCCAGGTCAGGGAAGCTGGCCAAAGACCCCACCCCCCGCCACCGGGTGGCCAGGCATTTAGTACCATGTCCCAGAAAAGTTTAAGCCCCACGAAAGGAGGTGTGGTGCATTCACAATCTCATTCATTTAATAAACCGTTAAGGAGCACTGACTGTATGCGGGACATGGTGCTGGCCAAGAAAGATGCTTTACCACCCTCAAGGAGAGATAAAGCTTGTAGGAGGTGATGAGGGCCATGAAAGGTACAAGGTGCCATGAGGAAACAGTAGAGAGAGGTTCCTTCCAACCAGAAGGACAAAGGAGGTGGATTTTCAGATGATTCTAAAAAGTAAGGAAGATTTTAATAACAACAATTTAGAAAATTCTATGCAGAGACAATCATATGGAAAGACAAAAAGGTGGGAAAAAGCAAGAGCTGGTCCCAGAAAGACATCAATTTGGACAGAGTTTAGGGTAATGCCTACAGCAGAGGAGACAAGATCTGGGAGAATTTTGACCTTCAGGACCTGGTCTAAAAGAGGCCAGCGTGTACTGAGCATCTGGCATGTGCGAATCCTGTGCCATCTGGCACTGGAGATGCAGTGAGGAGCCATGGAATGGTTCTCAGTGGGAAAAGAGACAGTTCCGGGTTCAGGAGAAGAGGGCAGGGCAGAAGCTGCACCAGCTGGTGTAACAGCAACAGGGCTTCTTCCCTATTTGACCGCTAGGAGGGGGAGGAGGGGCTGCTCGGGCCCCACCTGGGAGAACTTGCTGTAAGGCTGTTGGGCAGTGGAGGGAGCGGGTCCCAGAGTAGCTCCCGGAGTCACTGATGAGCTTGGTTCTGCTTTCCTAGGACCTGCTGGCCCTGATGGACACCAAGGCCCAAGAGGTTGGTCACTGATTGCTCTCCTCACTCCCCTGCCTCCCCCGCCTACCACCCCCCTGCCCTGCCCACATCCCAGGGCGCAGCCCCCAGCCCCCTAATCACAGCGCAGCAGGGGCGGGGGATCCATCCCAAGGAAACGTGCAAAGTCTAGGTCTTGACCCCCTTCTCCCTTCCACCTACCAGCAAGTTACTCAAAAAAACCCCCAAACAACACCGGCTCCAATACACTGGCCGGTCACTTGCCTGAAAGGAAAGCATTGCCACGTTGGTCATGCTCTCTCTATAGGGGAACAAGGTCTTCCAGGGATGCCCGGAACCCGAGGCTTACCAGGACCTTCTGGAGATCCAGGAAAGCCAGGTAACAGAGTAGGAAAAGGGAGCTGGCCCAGCTGGGCGCGCACGCGTTTGTGTGTGTGTGTGTGTGTGTGTGTGTGTGTGTGTGTGTGTGCG